TCTGGGGTCTACTCGAAGTTGTTGTTGTTCTTCTTCTTCAGATTTCAGAAGTGAGAAGAAGTGATGGAATTTTTCTGAAGACCGAGAAATGAACCAGCTTAGAGCGACCAGTCTTCCAGTTAGTCTCTGGACTTCTTGCACGTTTGTCAACTGGTTCGGAATGTCCTCGATTGCTTTAATCTTTTTGGGATTGACTTCAATCCCCCTTTAGGACTCCAGGAAACCTAAAAATTTATCGGAACTGACTCCAAATGCACACTTTTCGAGGTTAAGCTTCATGTTATGCTTCCTTAGGATGTCAAAAGTTTCTTGGAGGTGTTTCAAATGGTCGCCTACGTTCAAAGCATATCATCTATGTAAGCTTCCATTGTATTCCCTATTTGCTTTTTGAACATTTTGTTCACGAGCCTCTGAGTGGCTCCGGCGTTCTTAAACCCGAGGGCATCATATTGTAGCAATATGTGCCAAAGTTCGTTATGAATGAAGTTTTCTTTTGATCTCCGAGTTCATCTTAATTTGGTTGTGCCCGGAACAGGAATCGAGGAAACTCATCAACTCGTGTCCGACTGTTGCATCAATCATTTGATCAATGTTTGGCAATGGGAATGAGTCTTTTGGGCACACCTTGTTTAGATCCTTATAATCTACACACATACAGAATTTATTATTCCTTTTTGGAACTACGACTATGTTAGCTATCCAGTCGGGATATTTTACCTCCCGGATTGAACCAATATCGAGCAACCGAGTTACCTCTTTTTTAACAAATCTATTTTTGACCTCGGCAATTGGGCGCTTCTTTTGCCTTAGCGGCGGGATGCTTGGGTCCAGGCTTTGGTTGTGCACGGCCACCTCTAGCAGGATACCTGTCATATCCGCGTGCGACCATACAAAATAATCAACATTAGTTGTAAGACATTCAATAAATCCTAACCTGAACTCAGGCTTTAGTCCTATCCCAAAGTGGAACTTCCTTTCTAGAAACTTTTTGAACAATGCCACTTTTTCGAGTTCTTCTGCCGTGGACTTGGTCACGTCCATTTCTTTCGGTACCTAAAATTCCTTGGTACTTGGTTGGATTCCGACGGCTCCCCATCTATGTCATATTCATTTGGTTCGGGAGCAGGCGTCGGTTCCTGTAATTGCTATGCTGCGTGTTCCTTTCCTTTACTGTTGGAAACTGATACCATGTTCATCTCCCTTGCTACCCGCGTTCATCTCCAACACTCTGCATTGAATAATATTGGTTGAACTTCATGGGTCCACCAAAACACGTTTAATTTTAAAATCTAGATTAAGAAAAATTACCAGGGCATTGTTGTGCGGCAGTAGAAGTCCATCAGCGTCTTCTTTGGTGAAGGAGATATCGTCATCGGGGACCACCCGGAGTCTCTTTCTATGAGTCACCGATACTTTTGTCTTTTTGGCTGCAGAGAAGGTTACACCATTGATCTTATTTTCCCTGAAAATCATGTTGATAGTTTTCTAGGGAGGGTCTTCACATATCTTCGAGGGCTCTGCGTTGTCCCGGTTGCGACCGTAATTGTTTTTAGCATAGTCCCTAAGAACTCTCTATGATGGCCATTTTTCAACAACGTTTCCACCTCTTCACGCAGATGTCAGTAGTCCCCAGTCCACTGGTTGTTAGTCTCATGATACTCGCACCATATATTAGGATCCCTCTGGCTAGGATTAGATCTTATCGGCCTCGGGAACCGTGCTGCCTTGATGTTCCTTATCGCCGATACCTGCTCCACTACACTGATATTGAAATTGTACTCTAACAACCTAGATAGGTGGAATCCCAGGAACTCGATACCTCCTATCTTGCAATGACTTGTTATTCCGGTCGCGGTCAGTTGTTCTATTGGGAGTGAACCTATCTACCAACCGGAATCCTCTGTCGCATTCTTCCACCCTTTTGTAGGACAAAAATCGAACCTTAGAAGATCATCGATCTTCGTCAAAATCATCCTTCGACTTATCCTTGTTATTATTTTGATCCTGGCCCTTAGTTGATGCCAGGAACCCGAGCTGATCATCCTTTATTCTTATCTTTGATTCATAACAGTTATGGACATCTGCACATGCAGTTGCCTGAAACTCGAGCAGGCTTTCTTTCAGCTTCCAGGAGGCGTCAGAGCTCCTCGAGTTCAACCCTTTAGTAAATGCCTCAGCTACACATACAACTGGCACGGCCGGTAGCAACATTCTTTATTTCTATAACCTGGTCACGAACTCACGCAACAACTCAGACTCTCCTTGCGAGATCCTGAATATGTCTGCTTTCCGGGCCTGGACCTTCCCTACCTCGGCATGGGTCTTGATGAAAGAGTCCACGAGCATCTCAAAGAAATCTATTGAGTGTTCGGGTAAGAGTGAGTACTATGTCAGGGCCCCCTTCGTGAAGGTTTCTTCAAACTTCTTCAGTAGGACCGACTTAACCTCGTGTGGAGCCAAGTCGTTTCCTTTCACCTCCGTTGTATAGGTGGTGATGTGCTCCTGAGTGTTCGATGTCTCATCATATTTTGGTACATCTGACATTTTGAAGCATTTTGGAATTAACTCTGTGCTGCGCTCGGTTTGAACAACAACTGGGCTTCAGCACTGGTGGTGCGCCCGGAATTCGGTCCATTCGAGCATTTAGTTCCGTCATAAACCGCATGAGCTCGGTTTTGAAGGGATCATTACTATTGTTGTTACCAGATTCGCTGCCATCCCTTGTCGAAGCCGACTTCACCCCTCGGGGTGTTATGATCAACCATTTGCGTTGTTTGATTTGCGGGAGCACCGGGAGGAACTAGGCCTCTTCCATTCTCATTGTTGGAAGCATCTGACAACACTTGCCTTAATTCTGTCATGGCCTGGTCTTGCCATGAGAGATGGCCCATGATGGCCTTTTGTTGTTCTCTCAAGATCCTCACCGTTTTCGCAACGTGCTTGTCCTCAACATCATCAAGAGTCGGCTCCTGTACGTGTCGGGGATATCGCCCGCCATGAACCGGCATTTCTATGTCCTACTCGTTGTGGGTGTCACTGATTGAATCCTCGTGTTGAGGCAGGCTTTCTTGTGCCTCAACATTGTGTGCGATGTTGACATTGTTAGCTGCCATCTTTTATGATTTTTGCTAAGAAACAAAGAATAAAAAAGATTAGTAATAGATGCAAGGATCAACTCAATTACGCAACTATCTAAGCCCCACGCGGTCCCGAACTGTTTATCCGTAAAACGGTAAAGTTAAATTTATAGCGTGGTTTATAAACAAGGTAATCGATTTTAATCCAAATTGGTAAATAAATGAATAAAATGCAAGACTATTGAAATCGTGATAAAATAGCAGACAGTTTGGTTCCGGGAGCAAGGCTTCTGAAGGCGGCAATAAGAGTAACGTTAGAGACAAAATAAAGTATTATTTAGCTTAGAATAATGTGTAGCAATGTTTGTCAGAATTTTCGTGTGCTACAATGGTGGTTGAAGTCACTATATATAGCTATACCTACTGAACAAGGTCCTAGGATCAAGCCCCTTTTAAATGATAATAATGGAGGCCATTGATGAATGTGTAACGACAGTTCATGAATGCCAAAATTCTCTGTAACGGATGCGTATTTAATACTGAGGAATATTCTCCATTGAATGTCATTTGGTAGCAAATATTTGTTTCCTCTCATTGATAATGTTCCCTTCGGGGTCCATCCGATGCCAATCGAAGTTGTTGTCCTCGATCTTGGTTTTCACTCGCTTCGTCTTCTGTCCGCCCCCGGTTTCACGTGTTATTTGACATTCGAGTAGTTAATGTGAACCGATTTTACTCTGTATATTTATATATATTAAGAAACTTATTAAATATGTATAAATGTTTAATTATGAATTTGGTAACTTAACGAATTGTAAGTTCAGTAATAGTTCAAAACTCAGGGGCTTCAAATTTTGCACCTTTGCCCATCCTCCCCTTGTCTTCTTATACCTTCTATTCCTTTCACCTCACTTTTCTCTTCCACTTGCTTACCTGGTACTTAATGTTTATAACGAATTAATAAATATAAGATATGTAGCTATCATACAAATATTTATTCTTATCTTTAATTGTTAACTGTCAAAACTAAACTGCTCGAATATTATGTATGCTAAATGGTGAAGAAGTGCAACCCTAAGTGGTAGACTAGAAAGCTTATGAACAATTTAATTCCTAACTAGTCTCGGAAATACTCCACTAGTCCACATTAGTTTCGTTCTTCACACTTGACCGACACAGACAGAAACAATTCTTTATCAAGGAAGAGTAATATGATAAAGACAGGCTTCTTTAAAACCGAATGGAAAAAGTGGATGGTGAGGGTTCGAATCCTCTATTTTCCTTTTTAGTTTCTTTGTTCCATCATCATGCACCTAATAATAGCATCTCTCTTTGATCAACAGTACTACGCTACTACCAAGCAATTAGGGCCAATTGTGACCTATAAGTTACGGGTTCAAGCCATAGAATCAGCCACTGATATTACTTGCATTAAGGTAGACTGCTTACATCACGTCCCCTTAAGGTGCAACCCATCTCCAATCATGCAATATGCTTTGTGCACTGGACTGTTCTTTTTTTGTTTAATTATGATAGAAGGTTAGCTATTTTTGTATCAAGTTATAATAAAAATTTACTTGTAATTACTTTACCACTGACCTGATTGTATAAATATTTTTTATATTGTCAATGTATAGTACTTAGATTTGTGGTTTATTAATGATAATCAAGTCCCACGCTAAAAGGATGCATAAATTACACTAGCTAGCATCTCTTAGCAGCATGACAAAGTTGGTTGATCTACCAAATCATACTTGTGTTACACCCTCATTAATAAACTAAAGCAGCCACGCTTTCTAATTTTCTATGTACGAGTGTTTTAATATCTGTATAATTTTATTGACAAAGAACAATTATGAATGTCGGAACCTAAAAAGCAAAGGGAAAATTTAAGATGTGGGACTCCATTGGAAAGCATCTTTGTCAAGATTTAATGGCCCTTGTCCTCTTTAACATGTGGTTTGTATGTACTATGCCCATCACTCTTTTTGTGCCTAAAAACTTTGGTATAGCTCCTAAAGATGGAGTTTCCCTATCAACAATGCATAGTTTCTGTTAAGAATTGTTCTTATTGTTATCTCAACATCCTTTTACACTTTGCCTTTGCCATTAGCTATTTTCTTCGGCAACCAATTTATGGCTCTGGTTTCCTGGGCTAAGAAGGAACTTTCTAGGCTCAAACTCCAAAAGCCTAAAAGATTGACACTTGAAACTTCTACTTCTACCAAATGTATGGCATATCCTTTGGTAAGTCTTCTATAGATCCGCCCTCTCTACCTACACTCTCTCTTTTCTTCTCCCTTAGATGGTGTTCAAGTCAGTTTGCACACATTTTAAATATTTTGGCGACTATCTGCTATCTCCCATTACAGGTATGGAGTAATTTTGCCCATCGCCGTATAACCCTGTATGCAGGGATGGAGGTAGGGTATTATTTACGGGTTCGGCCGAACCTAATAGCTTTTGCATCGATCTTATATTTTGCATTAGAAAATTTATTAAATTTGTATTAATATATAACTATGAACGCGGTAACTAAGAAACATTATGGGTTCGGCGTCAAGTTCAGAACCTACAAACTTCAAATCCTAGTTCCCCTCTGCCGCATGTATGCATCATTTTGTACAATTAATGAGATCCTAATTATATGGATTATATATCTGCTAATCTTATTTTTTCTTGCCTTTTCCTTGGTTAATATGTTTGTTATCTTATGAAAGTCATTAGATTGAGCTGCAATTAACTCATTTAACCTAAAATTCATAGAAGTAGCATATTAGAGAGAGTTTTGAGTTATTTGGTTTTGGTGACGGAAAAGCAGGTCAAGGAGGTGGTGTTAGAAGCAGACTTAAGATGTGCCAACTGCCAAAACAGAGTTTCTACTGTAATTTCAAATATTGAAGGTAAGTTGTGTGTATACTATGCAGCTGTTTGGACATAAAAAGTATAATTTTTGCAACAAAAAAAAAAGTAGTATTTGGCGTTAAGTTGAAAAAAGGTATTTGAAATTTGAATTTGTGTTTGGACATGCATATATATATATATATATATATATATATATATATATATATATATATATATATATATATATATACTTTTTAAAAAGTAGTTTTTTGAAAAAATCATTTTTGAATTTTTTTTTTTCAAAAACTTGCAAAATTTCATGGACAAACACACTTTTTTTTTTTTAAATCGAGAAAAAAAAAAATTATGGACAAACGGGTCCTATTTCATATGGGCTGATCTTGAGATCTAAACTCAGCCCAAAAAAGAAACCGTGATATGTTTTATTTCTAAGCAAGCGTTTGGCCATAGATCCCAAATTTATTTTGAAAAATCTGATTTGGATGAAGTTTGGTTTGAAGATGAAAATGTGTTTGGACATACGTTTTCAAAACATATTTTCCAACTTTATTTTGAAAAAACATGTATATAATTCACAAGTTTTGGGATTTTGGCCCAAATTCAGCTCAATAGCTGATTTTGGAATTTGAAAATATGTGACAAATCTCAAATTCAGCTCAAATTCAGCCAAAATATGAGCAAAATTTATGGCCAAACATAAGTTTTAAAAATAAATCTCAAATTTATTTTGACAAAACTTATGGCCAAACGGGGCCTAAGTTTGATTCAATGCAGTTTCAATTGAATCTTGCAGATGTAGAGTCTATCGTGGTGCATGTACAAGAGAAGAAGGTGACTCTTATTCGCAAATCGGCAAGTAAATGATTTTGAAATGAAATTTATTCAAACAAAAAAATGTTGGAATTTTAGAAGAAATTGTTGTAATTTATGTGCAGATGGTTGTGATCATCAATTTGTGTGTCTGCTTGTTTGTTTCCTAATCCTTTGTTTAAGAATTACATAGCGTCAGAATGGTTGACCTACCACCTGATGTTCTGAACAAAATGAATGTATTAGTTAGTGAATTTTTTCCTTTGCGAATGAAGAATATATGAATAACATAAGTGTGGTGGTTGAAATGGTACCACATTGCTATGTGTGTCTGCAGACCGTGCCAGATTCAAAATTTAGACGCTTTGAGTTTTGAGTTGAATGAATGGGTACTGAAATATATATTAATTGTTTTCTTTACATTTCGTGTGCACATATATAAGGCTAAACGTCAAAGCATTAAATTTTGTAGAACTGGCGAACCTATGATTGAAAGGGAAATTAGCAAGTGTGGTGATAAATTCTGCTGTGGGTAAAATATGTTCATATTAAATATTCGCATAATAGAGCGACATATAAAATCGGAGACAGATGAAAAGCGAGACAGGTTGGAATCAAGATCGGGGGCAGCAGTCTTGGTTGGCACCGGGAAGCCCCCGAAGGGAATATTGCTCATGAAGACAAATGAATGTCTACTGTCTGATAGCATTCAATGAAGAATATTCTGCATTATTAATACGTAGTTTATTATAGAGAATATGACATTCATAGTCTGCCGTTACACATTCTTCAATGGCCCTCATAATTGTTATTTAAGAGGGTAAGGGAGGAATTTTCAGACAAACTTATGTTATATACTATTCAAAAGCTCAATAACATTTTATTTCTTGCTTATTAATATTGCTATTATTGCCTTCGGAAGTGTATGGGGTCGAATTTGACCGACCACGTCCCTAAGCCAGCACGACCGACCGAATATATGTGAGTCCGGCTAGAAGGACGACTTAGGAATAACAAGAGGGACGGCTTCATGATCACGTCGGCCCCTCTATAGCTTGTACTTTATTTCTGTCTTTTAATATTTAAGTAAGGATCCTCTATTATATAAAGGGGGTCCGAGCCTTGTAAATGGGGGGATTCATTATTGGAAATACAAGCTCTCTGGCTCTCTCATCTCTCTAACATTATTTCTCTCTCTCTCTTATCTCTCGAAGATTATCACCTTCTCTCTCTCTCCGATTTGTATTATTGTTGTCTGAACCAATTACCAAGATCATCCTAGGGTTTATTATCTTCGATTATGACGCCGTCTGTGGGAATTTCGGTAGTCGAAATCATAGTTCACATCTAGGATATCGAAAACAACAATCACTGTTCTTCAGACTTCATAGAAACTAACAAATGGCAGATAAAGAATCAAGGTTGAAGATGATAGCAGATGTCTCAACCAACCTCATAGGCCCACTCAACGAAGCCGGTAGAAAAAATACCGCGAATGTAACACCAGGTAGTGTACCGGGAGGGGGAGATCTCACCCTCTTCACTCGAAGATCTAACGATTTTGCATGAAAGAGGGACTTCTACATCTGCAGCAAAGGAAACGCCCCCAGTAGTCAAAAAGCTACTAGAGGAATGGTTGACGAACACTCTAAGTAGCATGCTCGAGAAACCACCTCAGGGAAATATCAAAGATTCGTCAATGGCAGAAATCGCCGCTGCCGCTGGTGAGCCCAGTGTTGTACGAACAAGTAACGCCCACACCGATACCAATGCAAGCGATGATGCGCTCGCAACCATCCTTAAGAAAATGGAAGAAATGGAGAACGAGAATAAAGCGCTTCGTGACCAAATGAAGGAGCACCAGGAAAGGGTAGACAAGATACCTGGTGCCCCTAAGCTACTACCGAAACGCGATGTGGAGAGGTTCATCGAGCAACCATATAGTGAGGAAGCTACTCCTCACCCGATCCCTAAAACCTTCAAGATGCCACCATACTTGAAAATATACGATGGGACCACGGATCCGGAAGACCATCTGATCCATTATGTGACCGCTGTAAAAGGCAATGACCTATCGAAAGAACAGGTGCCATCCGTGTTGCTGAAAAAGTTTGGTGAAACTTTGACAGGAGGAGCGCTAACATGGTACTCTCAACTGCCAGCCAGATCGATATCGACGTTCGAAGAGATGGCGGACAAGTTCGCCACCGCTCATGCAGGAGCAAAGAAGGCCAAGCTAGGGTCAACGATATCTTC